GACTCGAAGGTTATCGTCCTATTTCCCTGATACCTGTTTTATCAAAGGTCTTGGAAAAATTAATTTCGACCAGGTTTGTAAAACTAGTTGTGGATAATATTTCTTATGCACAACACGCATTTTTTCCCAAACGCGGCATTCATACAATGTGTCACCAACTTGAGAAAAATTGAGGCTAAATTTAGCTAGGAAAAAACATAGTGTGGTGTTATCGGAAGACATAGAAAAAGCTTTCGACCGTGTTGTGTCCACTTTTGTTTTGGATGAAATGATTGAATGGGGTGTACCTTTCCAAATGATGATCCAAATGATGACTTTATTCGTTCCTTTCCAATCGTATGTTGAAGATGAAAGTTGATGGGTATTTTTCTTCCATGCATCATTTGGATAATGGGGTTCCGCAAGGTTCTCCGTTATCAGTGGTTCTGTTTAATGTATATGTCAATTCTCTGGCTAAATCGATTGAGGCAATCCCGGGCATTGATTTGCAGTCGCATCTGGAACACCACGTGCTGTTTCTGCCAATCTTAAGCCTTTGAATAATAAAATACAAAGTTGGGCCACTTCTAGAGGTGCTGTAATTCCGGAAAACAAGTCCGAGTTGCTACATGTTTGTAGAAGGAGAAAGTGTTGCAATCCCACTGTTTTTATTGGCAATTATGAAATTACTTGTGCTAATTAAATGAGGATACTAGGTATTATTTTTACGAAGAACATATTATGGAATGAAAACGTAAAACTGGTAACTTTCAAATTACGAAAAATAAACAATCTTCTTAACATCTTATGCTGTGGTGGAATATCAAATTGACTCAAATTGGTTAGTTGTAAGACAGAGTCAATTACCGGTATATGCTGGTGTTTTTTCGGCTGAACTTGCTGCTACCAGTGCAGCAATTTATTATGCTATTCAGAAGGACTCGAGAGCCATAATATGTACCGATAGCCTCAGTGTTGTCAAGAGCATTTTTTATAACTAGAGTTCGTCCAGCGGTCGAAATTCGACCAGAACTAATGCTGGAAAAATTGCATAAATAAGCTAAAATAAAACCCTATTTTTGTAGTTCAAATCTGTGGTAAAAAATTAACTTTATTGATATTATCAAAGTGTATAATTTGCTTTGAATAATGTTTTCTTTTAGAAATTGTGATGGGTTTTAGTAAAAGTCCCATCAGAAGTTTAAAACCTCAATTGTCAAAATTAGTTTTACAACTTGTTTTACAAAAGTATTTGAAATGTTCTAAAGAATTTGTCAAAACAATAAAAATATTTAAAATAAATAATGTCTTATCTAATTATAAATAAATTTTATTTGGATGTCATTAGTAGTCCATCCATCATGTATATGCTGTATAAATTCTCCCTTATAACACTCGACAAAGACTTCAGCAGACATACTTTTATTCAATTTTAATGTCTTCTAATAGAATTTAATAGTAGATATTCTATGAGGCCTATTAATCGGCCTTTTATTAGCCTTCATATAGAAGCGCATAACGATATGCATTTTATTTCTTACTGACACTGAATCAATTCGTTAATCCATTATTTAAATCTTCCAAATCAATCAAAACTAATAATTAAATAATTAAAAATATTTCAATACATAACTTTTGACATTCTTATATTTTTCCGATATTTGTCTTTAAAATGTTCTACGTTCGTTAAAAAGTTAGGGAATTGAAAATTCGTTAATGTAACTGATATTTGTCATTACTTTACGATATCAATACTTAAAATTAAAAAAAAAAATTACTGAATTCCGGTACTGATGTCCTACCAATAATTTTCCAGGTCAAACACCAATATTAGTACATTGTTTGGCATATCTCTAGGTGTCCCCAAGCATTATTTACACATGTTTTTATATTCCCAGTTCGTTGTTTCCTCGGGAATGTCCTTCAATTTAACTATTTTGGAAAGTTTAAATAACGAAAAACTTCCAATCGAAAACTCTGAATATAAAACTGAAGTCCTACTTCTTATAAAAATATTCCTTTCGATTTGGTAACAATCGTAACGATATTGTAACAAAATAGATCATTATCTCATTCACAATTTAGCACTTTAAACAAAAATATAAAGCAATAAAATCCTATTTTCGCATTGCCTAAGCCTGTTTACATACTTATTTGTTTACAAAAATCTTATTAAAAACAACAACAAAAACAAATATCATGCAAAATACAAAAAGAAAACAGCAACAGAGCTTTGTTTGTTTTTAATTTCAAGAATACGTACGTGTGACTATTGTTTCTATGTATTAGTAACAACTTTAAACCCTTATAGCTCCTAAAACTCTGAACCGATCTCATTAATATATATATTGTTCACATCTGTGAACAAATACCTTTAAAATGATATATTTTTTGCCAAGATCAGATGTATACTGTAAGAGTAAAAGGGGTCACAAAAAATCGTCTTGCCTATTAATTATATAGATAAAAATGATATCTATGACAATATATTGAAAAATCCAGCTTTACATCAGCCTATTCTTATTTTATGGATTCCTTCTCATATTGGCATAACTGGTAATGAGCTTGCAGATCATGCAGCAAAAGAAGCAATCAAATTTCCGCTCATAATTGAAGTCCCTTGTCACCATCATGTCTTGAACAATATTTATAAGATAACATATAAATCACAACAGCAACTTAAGTGGGATAATTCCGGATGTTTTCATAGACAGCATAATACGTCATGTACAAGGCCTAAATATTATGAAAATTTCACTAGGCTGCAGTGTATAGAATTAAGAGTTGGTAAGGCGCTCTTTAATTCTCAACATTTCTATAACCGAACAGAACCACTTCTGTGCAGCACCTGTCATCATGTTACGAATGTTTACCATGTCCTGAAAGAATGCCCAAGGTCAAAAATGGCTAATTCATTGGATAAGATTCTTCATTGCTCTGATCCACATCAGTTACCGAATAAATAAAAAATCTTTTCATATACATAATATTTATGATATTTAAATTAGTATCCTAATACATATTTCAGTGTACATATTTTTAATTTTGTAAATAGCATGATGTAATAAGTAAGGTGAGAGCGTTTCGGCAACAAACACAATATTTTTTTGTTGCCTAGAGTTGGGTTTTGTCAAAATGAAATTTCTAAAATTGAAAAATAACAAACATTGGAAAGAAATATTTTTTGTATATTTCACAATATTTCCTATAAAACCGTCGTTACATTTAGCTTGTATCTGCAGCAGGACAATGTTTTAATGCTTCTTCATCAGAGTTTTCTTATTTGAAAACTTTTTATGAACATTTTAATTCATAAATTTAAATTTAAATTTTTTTGCTTTGAAAACACAAATATAATTTTTTTTTTTAGAATAAAAATAAATTAATTTATTTTGACACAATCCAAGCACTTTAATAAACAAATAAAAATCAGCTGCCTTAACGATTTCACCTTACTTAGTGCATCCTGGTAAATAGTTTTAATTTTTTTTTTTTTTTTAATCTAACTTTAAATTTTTCATATTTTATGGTCTAGTTACCCTGCGCCTTTCTTTAGTATATTTTATAAATTTATAAATTCAATAAATAAATAAAATAAATATACAAATATGAAACCTTGGAAGCAATGAGATCCTCACAAACATCATGACAAGCACTAAGTATTAATATTTCGCAGACTAAAATTTTTGACACAAAACGTAAAGAATAGTGAAAACTTACGACATACAACGTTACGGCACCGATTGTGATTTGTGTAATATTTCTGATTCATGAGTATGTAAAAATAACAAACAAATGTTGAATTCAATCCGAAAATTTTCAGTGCGTTTTTATCGAATTTCCAATTTTAATCGATAAATGGCATTATTGGTTTGAGTTGTTAGTAATTTATGGAAAAACTCAAATTTATTTAGCCCAAATTATTGTTATAAGGATAAAACAAAAAAGCTCAACTTCCTTGCAAGACAATCTAGTTGTAGTGCAGCAGTGCAGCAATAACTGTCATCATGAATATACTCTTTAGAGAGATAATTTTGTGCAGATTTCCATGTCGTTAAAAAACTTATGAATTTAGTTCCAGTTCTGCAAAATTCAGTAAAAACTTCCAAAAAGTGTCGCAAATAATAAAATCGCAATATCTCGAAAACAGGAGCTAACCGAAAATTTTAATAACGATTTGTGAACTCAGCGGGTGAAAATACATTCATTTTTATTTAAAAGGCATACAAAAAGTTCGATTTTGTTGACTCCTGTAAGTGAGATATTCGTAAAAAAACTAATTTTTGTGAGCTTTCTCGCCTAGTGCACACGATATTTATGGTGACTTTTAACTTAATTACCTTATTAAAAATAGTAAGGAGAAGTTATGTGCCAATTTTAATTTAGTTATTTAAAATTCCACAGCAAACCCCTTATTTTCCTGTCCTATATAGTTTTTCTTTAATCCGTCCGATAGTATATTATTTTAAAAGCTTTTCGTATGCATGTATGTTTGTGCTTTGTACCATTTACACTTAAACCTCGTTTTATGCGATTGATTCGTTTCATATAATTTAAATTCGCACAAAACGATACACTAGCTCCATACAAAATCAAATAATTAGGTTAAATAAAAAGCGAGAATATTCAAATTAATCCCTTAAAAGTCAAGTAAAATCGCATATAAAAAATCAACAAAAGTTTAACCCTTGCTGAAGCCTTAAAAAATAAAGAAAAAGAAGGGAAACAAACCACAAAACAATACGAATTCCAAATAATGAAGAAAATATATAAAATTTCTAAAAAGTAAAAAATAATTTTTCTTTATGTACAAAGGATTTGAACAATACTTTATAAATCCGAACCGGAATTGGTAAAAAATAAGGAGCAGTACTTTGTTGAGAACTTTTTTGAATGTATGTGGTCGAAAAATTTCCTTAAAATCTTCTGCAAAGAAAGTTTTTAGAATTTTGAAAACGCATAAATTTAAATTCGCATAAAACGAGGTTTGGGTGTAATTTCTTTATTATTGTTGAAAACAGCTTACAGTAATTTCTTATCTACGATGAATTCAGAAATCCGATCAATCGACGGCAGTTGTAATGTAGCACCTGGAATTAGTTTGGCAAACAATACACACTGTGACTTGCTTAAACATGATGATGCTGATAAGAATCAGAACGATCCTTACAAAGATATCTCAATTAATTTCAATGGATTGGAAAATGGCATGGAGTTTTTGAGTGTAGCAGCTGGAGTTACAGCCAAAGATAAACGCATTAAAGATGCTAAGAATCAAGTTGCGGCCGCTAGTAAGGATAACAAGGATATAATATCCAACTTTTCAAGTAAATACCACAAATTTAACAAACTGTAATGTATAAAATAAATATATTAAATTTTTTAGAGCTTGTTACTTTTGAGGATTTCCTCACACAACCGAATTCATCGTCAAGTGTTGCGAATTCTGGTGGACAATTGTTTCTTCGAGATTATCCCGATATATTTATTAGTGGTGATACGACAATTTCGCAGTTGCTGGCCACTCTTCAAAAGAAAGGACATTCCTTATCCAACCCATGCATAACTCTTGATATGGTTTGTAACAAAACATTTTTAAATAAAATATAATATGATTATTAGGGCTATAACTTTATACTTTTCACTTATTAGTATAAACAAATGCAAAAAATAAATTATATTTATAGAATTAATACACATACATACACAATAATAAATAATAATAATCTTCCATTACATATCTACAGGTGACAGGCAAGGGTGCCAATTTGGACATTCTTGATGAGACTTCCTATATAAAGACGTCGTCTGTAGAGCCATTGCCATCACCCTTACAGCGTTTCTCCACTAGAGGTGGCCTGTCCTTATTAGCCCAGTATTTGCCAACCGTTTATCCAGATGTTAGTTCACGTAAACACCAAAATTCGGCCCCAGAGAAGGAAAAAAGTCCACCAATGAATGATTGGGTTAAACTAGAACCAAATGATGATATCTACGAGGATCTTGAAGATCCTTTGTCGGAGCCAACTGCCAAACAAGCCACTATAACTTCAGTGCCCCAACATTCACTTGCCGCATTTGGACTGTTCTTACGTCTACCCGCCTATTCAGATGTTCTCTTACGAGATAAGTTGAGAGCGCAGTGTCTTCTTCGACTTGTTTTAGGAGTAACGGGAGATGGAGAAGGAAGTTAGTTCGTAAAAGTGATAAACATAAATACAGAGAAAATTAATCATTCTCTATTTCTAGATGACATTTATAGTCTGTCACTAGCGCCTTCATTGCCGACATTGCCGTTTGAAGTTTTCCGACAGCTATTGGATAGTTCACCCTTGACCACAGATGACGGCATGCTCTTGAGGCGCATGGTAATTGAAGTTGGTGCAATGCATTTAGTTTTGAATTGTTTAAGTATATTTACGCATCATTCGCCCATATACCCTTTAAGCCATTCTCAAAACGAGGTAAATAACTGATATATTATAATATATAAATATATGTATGTATATTATTTCTAATTTTAAAAAAATAATATATTCGATAGATCTCAAATAGTGGAGCGAAAACTGCACTGAATATTATTGAGGATTCTTCTCTGCCCACATCAGATGACAAAGGTCACATGTATTGGGCAAAAGGTACGGGATTTGGAACAGGTTCGACAACACAGTCGTGGAATGTTGAACAGGCTTTATTGCGTCAAAAAAGCGAAGAAGAACATGTAACAGTTTTACTGCAGGTTCGTTTATTCGATTCTTTTCATATATTTATAATGTTGTCACTCGACTTTTTGGACTTATTGAAAAGGTTCTTGCAAGTTATATTAATCCGGGTGATTATATTCCAACTGACGATGAAATGCCATATCATGAAATTGCTGATCTATCGGACGAACTTCCAAGTGAGTTTTCATCTTTACTGAAACAGTCGTGTCTCATTCCAGCACTCAGTTCCTATTTGCGAAACGATTCCGTACTCGATATAACCCGACACATTCCTCTTTATCGTGCCATTCTTCAGCTATTGAGAGCAATATCACTTTCACACGAACTGGTTTCATTGCTTCAGCCTCAGAATTCAGGCGGAAGTTCACCATCCATAGCAGAACTATTATCGAATATGAGGACTTGTGTTGACACATATGCAAAGCGCTTAAAGTAAGTTATTATTGTTTTTTGCAGTTTAATAAAATGTATTGTTCTCATTGGTTATCGATTTTTAGATTGAACAAGAAATCGAACATCAAAGGACAAACGCAACAGGTGACTGTTAATCTTGATGATGGAGACGATGAGGGTTTGGCACTTCTTATACCCGATATTCAAGAGACGACTGTTTTAGTTCAGAAAACCACAAAAAGGACAGATCAGCAGTTACAAAATCAATTGTCATTAACTAATGATGGGGGTATTAACAGTGACATTGAACGAATACCACAGAGTAAATCTATTGAGGAACGCTACTTAGAGGTAATGAAAAAATTACAATTTGATACATTCGATATGATTGTCGAAGCTGAAAACAATGGTTATCGTTTCGTTGTTTCGCACCATTTTGAAAAAATGGTTCGAATGGCTGGAGATCGTTATCACCCTTCGCGCGTCAAGCGATTGGCCCAAGAGGCGGTGACTCTTTCTACAAGTTTGCCTCTGTCTTATAGCAGTTCCGTTTTCGTTCGCTGTGATACAGATCGTCTTGATGTTATGAAAGTAAGTATTCGATTTAAATACATCCACTATTAACATAATTTCTTCATATTGTAGGTGCTTATAACGGGACCTGCGGACACGCCATACGCTAATGGATGCTTTGAATTTGACGTCTTCTTCCCACCAGATTATCCAAATTTGCCAATGCTTATTAATCTTGAAACAACAGGCCGTCATTCTGTACGCTTCAATCCTAATCTTTACAATGATGGCAAAGTTTGTTTATCAGTTCTAAATACATGGCACGGTCGTCCAGAAGAGAAGTGGAATGCTCAAACTTCTAGTTTTCTGCAAGTGCTTGTCTCAATACAATCACTGATACTTGTGCCTGAGCCATATTTTAATGAGCCAGGATTTGAGCGCAGTCGGGGTACGCCGAGCGGGACACATTCTTCACGTGAATACAATAGCAATATCTATCAAGCCTGTGTGCGTTGGGCTATGTTGGAACAAATACGTAATCCTAGTCCTTGTTTTAAAGATGTACGTACTATTTAGGAAGACATTTTAACGATGTACTTGCATAGAGCTAAAATTATTTTAATTTCAGGTTATACATACGCATTTTTGGCTTAAACGAAATGAAATTTGCGCCCAAATAGAAAACTGGATTGAAGAGCTTTGTAAGACTCAGTATAATGAACGCAGCAGTCGAACAATTTCATTTAATTCAATGGTTTTAAGACGTCAATATCGCCACCTACGTGAAGAACTGGCCAAACTTAAAGTCCCAGAAGGATTAAGTGATTTGGATGCTCCATTTAACCCTAATGTCACCTTACCAGTAATGAATGAAAGTAGCAACACAAATAACAACAGCGGCACAATTTCAGTAACGAAAACTAATTCTGAAACGACTGCTGTAGTTAATACAATTGCAACAGCTACAATAGCTGGATCCAATGTCAATGTGCCAACGGAACCGACTCAATTGCCTGGTGCATTCGGAAGTGTATCTTCGGAAACCAATGTTCACTCAGAAAAAGATGTACAGTCCTTGAATTCTACTCATTTAGCACCCCTAGAGATTAATACAAATCAACCCTTCATTAACTGCACCATTGAAGATGACAACGATGGAGCACCTGCTATTCTTCCACAGTCGACAATACCACCAACTGTTAACGCTAAAATAGTTACTGTCGATGAACCAACGTTATCGAACGATAATGAAGGTGGCGAAGGCGACGAGGAAGATGCAGACGATATAATAGCCACGGAGGGCGACGAATTGGACGTCAGTGACTACAAATGTAACACCGTTGATGAACTAATGGAGCAATTATTTTTTGATAGTTCCGAAAATGCTATGCATTACGATGATTAAAATAAAACATAGACCTGTATATTATATTTTCTGCCTTCTTTTTCGTGCTTCAACAATGTTAAGGAACCACATTCATATAAAACACATGTATTAATTCATACTGTTGCTCTTAGGATTTTTGCGTGCGCTTTTTTTAATTATATTTAATTTTTTGTATGGAGAAAATAATGTTGCAACAATATGCATAATTTAAAATAAAAATACAAATATATAAAACAAGAACTAAAATGTGAATTAAAATACTTTAATGTGACCGAATTTGGTATAATTAAGATAAATAAAATAGAGTTTTCCATCACTTATCATTTTTGTTTATATATATTTTTTTAGTAAAATAGACAATTCAATCCGACAAATTTACGTAAATAATCCCAGCAAAAAATAATGGAAGTCATTCTTTACAAGTACATATCGTCACCTGAAATCCAAAAATTCGTAACAACCAAAAAATTTTAAATTGACTTTTTGATTGAAAATGGTCCACTGCATCAAAACATGTTGTTCAAAACATTTAGAACTCTATTGTCAAAAACACCGACTTTATTATTATTATTATGATGGTTTTAAAAACTTATTTTGTGGTCATATTTCAAGCAGTTGGGAGATCTAAAATTGTTCCTTATGTAATTGTTTTTGTTTGTAATAAAACAGCAACACTTACACTTAAAAATGACTCAAAAACGATTCAAAAATGAGTGAAAACTGATTAGAAATGGGGCTCTCAAAAGACTCTTTTGGAAGAGTTAGCAAAGCATTTTGTGTGGCCTAAAATGAGTTGATATAATTCTCATTTCGTTTATAAAATTAAATGTATAAGTATTTGAATTTGTGTGATATTTATAAAATCGATTTTCTGTCAAGGAAATCCAAATTATATTATGCTTTAATTATAATAATTTTCTGTGTTTAATGATCTTCTACGGAAGATAGTTGGGCGACTAATCACTAAACTAAGTCTAAATAATTCCAATTAATGTTTAAAATCTGGTTTATTTGAAAAACAATAACAAAATGTATACCAATCACAAATAGGTCATCCAGGTGTTTGAAATATGATTGTTTATAAATTTAGTTTGAAGCTATATTTCGCGCAGTCGGAAGATCAAAAACTGTTTTCTGTTGTATTGTATTTGTCTGTAACAAACATAAAAATTACTCAGAAGAGACTCAAAAATGACTATAATATGATTCGGAAATAACTCCAAAACGACCAGTTATTTGGCTCATTAATGACTCAAAAAAGATTAAAAAATGAGTCATAATTGATCAGAAGTTGGGCTCATAAATGACTCATTTAGAAGAGTCGCGTGTAGGGTACCATTTTCTCCCGACGAATGTATATTTATGATCAGAAAATCAGCGCATATATGATCATTTTAATCGTGCAGAAGAGTCATAAATGATTCGAATGTGATCAAAATTTTCAAAAAAATGCTAGCTGGGATAATATAGACAATATATACCTTCGTATAGGAAACTGGAACTCCCGAACTCCGCTCCTGAGTTTATTGGTCTCCACCAAAATCTTAAATGAGTTTTGTTTGGTACTCCACCATGTATCAAAGAAAATTTTAGGTTATCAAATAAAATGCATGTGGTTAATGCATGAAGCTTCGAAGAACCGTAACACGGTACAGTTATGCGACGCCGCGCACTAAAAAAATGCGAGAGTGAAAAGCAAAACTCTCGAAGGCAGCGAAAGAAGGACGACCTGATTACCCTTAAACGATAATGGTAATGACGCGCGAAGGTCTTTATCCAGCCAGAGCTGAATTACGAATGTGACGATATGTTATTTGTGGTGAAAATTCTATTACTTTTTCCTCACTTTTGTATACATATGTATGTATGTATGTATGTATGTATGTATGTATGTATACGTACCTAGCAAAAACATGGTAATTACTTGTACTAACTCAACAACTTACTTTTCAATGACTACTAAATACCGTCTGTATTACTTAGAAGGAGTCTAGTAATGACTGACAAATAATATATTATGTAATTAGTTCCTTTTTATCCTTTACATATTGTTTTCGAACTTTGTTTTTAACACAAACGAAAACTAATAACAGACGCAGTGGACGAATTGATGTTTAATGACCGAAGAAGCGATAATAAATAATTCAGAAAGTGGTGAAAAAGATCTAGTATTTTCATCACAACTAGTAACCCGAATTGCTTCAAATTCGGCTGAAAAATCTAACATTATATAGGAATTAATTCACCAGGGAATTAATTAAACTAAATCGAAAGCTTTAAAAATTAATTTTATGAATTAAATCTCAGAATTTGATCCGAGCGAAAAAGGTATTTTTGATCCATCCCTAATATACATACAGTGCAATATCGTCGTTATATACTCATGATGATTGGTAAATTTTCTTGGTATGTTTTTTATCTTTGTTGTTGTTGAAAGGAATCGAGATTGATTGTTTTATCGATCTATTAATTTAATGACGTTGTGGCGATGCCGCCCAATGTCGATGCCAACGCCAATTCATACAATGATAACATTGCCAACCAACCAAAAGTCACAAACCTTACACTAAGTACTAGTACAACTTATACAATAAGAGAAATATAAGAAAAATCAAACAACAAAAAACTTTTACGATCAATTCTACTGGTATATCTTTCGGAATTTGTATTTCTTTTTTCATTTTCTCAATAACATTCGACGGGATCACAGTTATTCACGGTTAATTTAAATGAATTGAATTAAATAAATAGTGTTACCGATAAAATCGAATAATATTTGTACATATTTAATAAATATTTAATAATAACAATAATAAAATTTATAATAATTCTCAACAATAAATAGTGTTATTGGTAGACAATGGAATTGGCCAGTGTTACTATTGATGCTGCTCAATCTGTAAGTTTAATTATTTAAGAAGAATAAAAGTGCATATACAATACACTATATACTATACATACACACAAATATACGTACATATGCAAGACATAAAGAAATTGAAAACAAAGAACGACCAAAATTAAGAGATAAATAAATTGGCACGTGATTTTCAATTCACAATTAAGTGAATATCAGAAATCTACTGCACAAATATTGGATACGGACAAAAGTATTTCTACCAATTTTCAAATCGTATCAAAGAAATAGGTACGTTGCATGTACATTATAAATATGTACATGTAATTATGTACATATGTATGTAATGTTTTAAATTCTATTAAGTTTAAAAACCATAAAGAAAATTGAAACATTTACATACATACATACTTACATACATAACGTCACCTGAGTTTCAAAAAGGCGCAGCAACCAAAAAGTTTGATGTCGACTTTTTGATTAAAAATGGTCCACTGCATCAAAATACATGTTGTCGCTCTGTAAAAAATGCCGACTTTATTTATTTATTTATTTTAATAGTGTTGTTACGCTCTCTTGCATTTCAGGTGACGTTATGTATACAGTGTCTCTCATAAGTATTCGAATTTAGGTAAACTATGAAAAGAAACCAAATTTAATAATATATTTTGTGTGGGAAATAAATAAATAAATTTGTTATATTGTCTAGATAGTCTTTAGTTTTGATATCACGCCCCTTAAAACTTGAAAACTTTACATTTACTTAAATTAGTTATGCTTTTTTTAAAAAAAGTCCATGAAACTACTTCACAAAAGTATGCGAATTTTTCCTGTATTTCATATTTGATCATATTATACGATACACACATTTTAGAATCGCATGGTTTTATGCTTAATATGGTTTTAAGGGGTTACTATCAACCGCATGGATATATTTTTGACCCATTTGGTCCACAATTTTGGGGGATTTGTACCCTCTTTTCATGTAATATCATTAAAATGGCGATTTTTGGCTATATTTGTAATGTTTTCACCCTTTTTCCAGAGGTAAAACCAAAATTTAATATTGGAATTAAATAGAAACCATAGGGTATCTAAAAATAATATTTTTTGTTATAAGGATCTGTACTTAAACGTTCCAAGATGTATTTTTGCTATCGTTTTGCAGTTTCTAATTGAATTATCTGGATCATAAGTCCCTTTTCGTACCTCTAGGGACGATATTTTCCGACAAAGTTGTCTAGTGTATATTCATGTACATATTGGCACTAATGTATTTTAAATTTTCAATATATTATAGCGGTATACAACTCCAAAACATGCCTTAACAAAACGTCATCCTATATAGTAGATTTCAGTTTTTACTACTCGTAACTTTCACGCTTATGTTGCCCGTTACAATAACACTGTAAGTCCTAAATTTTGGTTTTAATTTGATCATAGTAAATAATATTTAAACACATATCAACATTTTTGATGTGATCATAATGATATCGTGCCATGCAGCATGGAGGCCATTGGCATATAAAAATAATGATTTTACTATTTTGAATGGTGTTTCTTCGAGGCATGTTTTGGAGTTGTACACTTCCACAACACATTGAAAACTTAAAATGTATAAAAGCTGATATCTAAAAGAATATATACCAGAAAACTTTCCCCGAAAATAGTTGATCCTAGTATTATAAAAATGGACTTAAGTTCCAATATATTGAATTAGCGAAAGAAGAATGATCCGAATAATTTATCTTGGAACGTTTAAATACAGATTCTTGTAACAAAAGATATTATTTTTAGATACCCCAAGGGGTCTTTTGAGTCCCAATATCAAATTTTTGTTTTATCTCTGGAAAAAAGGAGAAAAATTTACAATTATGGTCAAAAATCGCTATTTTAATGATATTACATGAAAAAAGGGTACAAATTCCCCAAAATTGTGGACCAAATGGGCCAAAAATATATCCTTTCCGTGGATAGTAACCCCTTAAAACAATATTACGCATAAAAACCATTCGATTCTAAAATTTGTGTTGCGTATAATATGATCAAATATGAAATACAGGAAAAATTCGTATACTTTTGTGAGGCAATTTCATGGACTTTTTTTAAAAAAGCACAATTAATTTAAGTCAATACAAATTTTTCAAGTTTTAAAAAGCGTGATATCAAACATAAGGACTATCTAGACAATATAACAAATTAATTTATTAATTTTGCACACAAAATATATTATTAAATTTGGTTTCTTTTTATAGTTTATCCAAATTCGAATAATTATGAGAGACACTGTATATGAAAGGAGAAAGTTTCGTGTAAAAGTGTAATTTTCAACAAACAAATTTCTTGATCCTTAATGGACCAACCCTCGAAAAATATACAATAGTAATTAAGTTGGAATTTTTATTTACTTACTGGTCAAAGTCAACTGTTAATTGAAAAAGTAAATACATTTTAAATTGAAATGAG